ATGACGGCGGAAAGAAAGTTGTGGATAAAAGTGCAACAGTGTGCAAGCATTGTGCAACATGTTTTGTTTATACTAACAGCAACACGACCAACATGTCAGGCTAACCCCAAAATCCCACATACTCTGTCAGCCCTCCGCTCCGCTCCAGACCACCTGCACAAAGCAAAGCATACAGCCTCCGCTGTGGGTCCCGTCCACTCCGCTCTGAATTCCTTGGAGATCGTAGAGGGCATGAGCGAAATGATTCAATTCAAAGCAGCAAAACATGCGGAAATGATTCAGGGTTTCCGCAAATCATTAAAAATAATTCATAAAATGTTTTTGGATTTTTTTATTAATTTCATTCATTTTTATGGGATTTCGGGGTAACAACCAACATATACCAAACCAAACCGAAAACCGTGACCACGAAACCGTGAACCGAACCGAACCGTGGATTTTGTGAACCGTTCCACCCCTAACAGAGGGTGATAGTGAAAGCTGTGTGATCTTCTGGTGGAGGTTGTCAAAGTTGATGGTGTGTTGAAGCCCTTGCCATCTCCTTTAGATGTTCTAACATCAGTCTCTGAAAGATGATAATGATTACAGACACCTTGTCTACAGATCTGCAGTTATCCAAACGTGTGATTCTCTAGTCCCCCTAAGTCAGTTTCTTAGTGACTAAAGCTGAATGCCAAAATGTTCATTGATGTGCCACATTATAAAGCCACTTTGAATGTATTAACACATTTCACAAGGGTCCACATAGTTTTTATGCAAGAAAACCTTGGTAAATATGGTTTTAGCTATGGTTACTAAATCTAATTTTTAAATTGTTTGAACCATCAAGAAAATTATAAAAAAAAATACTTATTTTCTTATTACATCTTAGCATAATTACCAAGACCATTTCTTTATTTTATTTTTTCCCATATTGGCTGTATTTCAGGAGATGCCAGGTGACATAGACTATATGAATTTGGGTCGAATGATTGTGCCACTGGAGCTGAACTACTGCCAGTGTATGTTGGAGCTACAGGAGTACTATGAAGTCATAGAGCACACCACTGAGCTGCTGGAGAAGCACAAAGGTAACAAAATAGTTTAGTGCTTAATAGTTACTGCTGTAATTCATGTTAAGTAAGTTATATGCTAAGAATTACATATTTGATTAATCTTCTCCTAGAGGAAATGACATTTCATGCTCTGTCTTGGTTTTTTTCTTGCGTCACCAAGCTTCACACTCCCACAGCTGTGTCACTCTATCATTCCACCGGGGTTAGCAGCTGCATCAGAGGTGCCATGCTTAATCTTGTGCATTGAGGTGATTTAACAGTGTATGGTCATTATTCACTCCAGAGATGTGAACCAGCAAAACTCTCCATATGTTCACAGTACTCTAAGCTCAAGGCTACTAATGTGCCCAAAAAAGAGGAAAACGCAATTCCTTATTGGCCTTTATTAGTTTTTTATATTTTACATTCTGTTTTAACACTCTTTAAAAAAGAGTTTAAGCCTTTTCTTAGATGTTTTTTCAGCTTTATAAAGCTAAATGCATCGAAGTTTGTCCTCAAAGTTGTGACTGAAACACATTTACTATCACTGAGTGACAGAAATTTCTAAAATTTAAAACATATGCACTAAATACTTCACCAGGATTATATTGAGTGCACATTAACAAAGTTGGAGAACTTTTTTGAACTGCATAGATACCATTGCAAGGTTACAGCACACTTCCTGATCAAAACATTGTCATTTTCTTCGATTGGGCTTAGTGCAAAATAGGAAAATAGTTTTTAGTTAAAGTAATGATACTGGCTTATCTACAAGTCTTTAAAATATTCATTGTTAGAAAAGGGGTACAAAATTAAATATAAATTCATTAGGATAAGGCTAAATGTTTAGAAAGCTACACATTTAAATAACAAGGTCAATATTTTATAGTAAGTCTCATAGCAAATGTAACTGCAGTAATTTAACTGTGCTTGACGTAGTCTTATTACAGTGACACGTGAGATGTGGGAAATGTTCATGATCATTAAGCTGTCAGTAGTTGTAAATACAAATCATCAAGCTTGGTAATCGGTGGGCCTTCAACAATAAATCTGATCTAAATCAATAAATGAATTGAAAGAAAATTAATCCTATTTTAGAACATCAAGTACAGTAGTAGCATACATACAAGTACAGGTGTTTTTTCTAGCACTAGATGCCTGAACTGAAAATAATCAGATTTTACAGAAAGAGAGAGATAGAAAAGGGTGGTAAATATGGACTAAAGGTATCAAGGTGAGTATTTGAACCCAGGAAGGGTTAGGGTTAGGCCCATTTTAAGACTTTTTTCCTTTAGTGTTGTCTATTTCATTAATGATGACACTTGAAAATCTATAGTCTGTGGTTTTGCACACTTTTGGTTTGACTTAGAACCTGTAAAAACTAGATCTTTCAATTATTAAGAACTGAAAATGTGTGGTTATTTTTTTATGACTGTATATCACAGCTTTGGTGTGGAAGTGTTTGTTTTTCACACTAGCAGAATTTCATAAATGGAACAGTGTAAAGCGACTGTAGGGAGCCTGGTCGGATGACTTTTTAACTTAAAAAAGTAAAATTATAGTAGGGCAAAAATGGCATTAACCAGGAATAAAAGCCTGATGATCAATGCTATGTCACATAGCAAATGTGTTTATGTTTATGCATTTAACAGACGGTTTTATCCACAGCTACTTAAAAAGTAGTACCGTAAAAAAGAGTTCTGATCATTTGTAATGGTTTTATTGTACAAGCTGGGGGACCAGTCAGGAATGTGTTACCATAGTGAAGACGGTAGAAAACCATGGACTGAATTTGGAACTGGGTAGCATGTTGGGTTAGATATGGCTGGATCTTTCTCACGTTTAGAACTGTGAAGCGACAACATCGAGAGACGGATGTAACATGATCTTTAAAGGTCAGCTGGTCATCAATCATGACACCCAAGTTTCTTGCTGCCTTTGATGGAGTCATAGACAGGGATCCTGTCTGGATGAGAATATTGTGGTTTGGTTTGACTGCGAAAACAAGCAGTTCCATTTTTGAGAGATTCAGTTGGAAGTGATTGGCTTTCATCCATTTTGAGTAAAATTTTGTTGTTAACTATACACCTGATGTTGATCGGAAAATGTGTAAAGATGATCTCTATTAAACATAAAGACCCTTTTGCACACTTTTAAACGTTCTTGACCAGAAGTGTACTTGTTGGTGTTGATTAAACACTTAAAAAAAATCTAAAACAAATTTACCAAATTTCTGCTCCAATCTAATAAAAGGGAACAGTTAATGTGATGTATATATAAAAAAGAACAAAGAGATCCAATTATACATGCAATATGAGAACTATGTTTAAAAAGCTTGCCTGGTTTTGACTCATTTAATTATAACAGTTATTTCTAATAACTCAAAGGAAGCAAAGGTGACAGTATGGATATGTAGCAGTTTGGCTTGAAAAGTAGTTGGAAAAACCTTGCTTTCTCACAGATGTATTTTTTATTGCTTTGTTTTAAATAAGGGAATACAATCAATGCAATCTTTAAGTACAGAAATAAAAATAGAAAGTAAAATTCATGTACTCCTGAATAGCAATTTATTATAAGCTGTTTCTGATAAACAGTCAGATCAAAATCTGGTCCCTTTGAAAATTATTCTCTTCAATATAAAAAAACCTTTTAAACAGGGAACCAGTCCACACCTTCTCTCAGCTGTTTCAAAAAGAAAAAAAATGTATTTATTTTTCTGATTTCCACAAGAAGCTGCTCGATTTTGCATCTGTAAGCTGCGTGAAAGTATGTAGGAGGACGTGAGGTTGACATTACCGCAGGTTTTCCAGCTGGAGAAGCCCTGGGAATTGCACTGTCAAACACATGACTAGTCATATGAGCCTAAAGGAGCCTTGCAAGTTGGCGAAACCGCCACTTCAGAGCCTCATTTGCCCCCTCATCCTGTGATGGAATGCTTTCAGACAGCCTGTATTCTACAGCCTGAATTTTCAGGGGTATTTTTTTTCCCCATTCTGTGTTTGTTTGTATTGACATTTACAACTTTTTTTGCATGTGATAATATTCCAATATGAATTAAACTGTAAGGTTTAATTGAATTAACGATAAGTCATTAAATCTGTTCATAACAAATGTAGAAGTGGACTCCTGAGTAATCTTAAAAGGAAGCTTTCATGCCCTTTGAACATGTCACACTTTCTCTTGCTACAGCCAAAAACTAGAACTTTGTGGAATTATATGTGATAGACCAACAATAATAACTGCATGAAATAGTGCAGGAAAAAAAGGATATCCTTAACAAATAAAATCATAAAACTGTAACATGTATGTATTCAACCCGATGAGTCAAAACTGCCTTGAAGTGTATTTTTGCTGCAAGTGAAATCTGCCGCTGTTTGGCTCAACAAGATTTATTCATCAAAGATCGACATTGTTGCTATTTCATGCTCTTTATAATAAGGCTCAGGCATTAAAACCCTGTTTTACCAGGGAAATGGGAATCCTGAGAACTCGTCAGCCTGCTGTCTCCATCTAAAAGCTAAGGAATATTTAAAGTCACCTGAGATAAACAATACTAAATCTCCTGTCAAGTTGGTGGCATTTACAATATATAAGAAAACACAACTATTTTTACCTTGCACTCCCAGATTAATCATAACCATCCTTTTACTCTCTCCAAAATGCACATTTTAGTAGCCTTAACTGATGTAAAATCAGATCACAAACTTGAGTCCTGTGATATATTATTTTCGTCCATAATGAAGTTAAACTTGATCCATAAACAGGAACATTTTAAACAATCATTGATATGTATTTTTTGAACAGCTTCCATCTGGCCAGCGTAGATGCTTTATAACTGCATTATGGATTTACAGTAACTACTAAAAACTTATCAACACACTTTATTTTTTTTTTATCATGATAATAATGAGGTCAATCCCAAGTCAGATATCTGTAGCAAAAACAGTAAATATTTGATCAGTTATATTCAGTCTACGTTTACAGGGAATTGATAGATTGACTGTCTAATTAAAAGAAAACATCTATATCATACAGAAGTTGTGGACAGTGAGGTAAATGATGGCAGCACTCAAAAAAGGTTTCCAGAAGAAACATATAAAGCAGCATATGGAAAGCCATTTGGTCCAATTACTCATGATTTCTAACACGTAGACAACACGTCAATGACACACACTATGATCACTCCTCTGAAACAGTTTATTAACGCCTAAATTAACTTAAAATGCCGAAATCTGTTGGCAAAATATGTTCCCTTTTATTATCCTGGTGCCTGCAGTTTGGATTACATACATGAAAAACGCCTTCCAGCCGTGGCAAACCGCAGAGAGGCGACAGGGCCAGAGGCTGCTGTTGAACGGGATTCCTAGTGACAGCACACCGCTAGTATGTGGGGGTCTGAGCAGCTCCGACAGCAAAATAATATTTGAAGGCAGGATGGTAATCTTGATGAAATGACTGCACAGATGACGTTTTCAGGCGGACTTTCTCACTTAAAAAACATATTAACACTACTTTTTACCCACTGATCACAGCAAATATACCTGCCATCACTACAGGCAAGGAAAGGATAGGGCAGCTCCACCCAACAAGCATCAGTCCCACTTTTCCACCACGCAGGTGGAGCAGCAAAGAAGAACTAAACTTGTACAAGAATCAAAAATGAAGCAGCACGTGTGTTTTTGCTGCTCTTGCTGCTTGCTAGCATCTAAGCCTTAATGTCTCCTCCTCCAAAGCTGCCAGCATTTACCCGTGAGAAATAGACAATGTAAATCATATATAAAGGGGTTAAACTTCACTAAGTTGGGCTTGCATAAAAAAAAAAAAAAACAGGCAAAGGAAAATGTCTATATTTTTTTAAATGTTTTATGAAAATGTTAAAATGTGCTGTTTGATCATTTATAGCCTACTCCACTAAAATATTTATTTTGATAAGTTGTGGCAAAACAGTATATACTTGTTGTTAATTAGTTCCAAAATTTATAAAATCATATGTCAAAATCTTTCACACAAAAACATTAGATTAGACTAATGCCACCCTGGCACAAGAGGAAACCCCTTTAGGGGCAGCTGTAACTGGGGATTCCAAGTGTTATCGCCCGGTTAGCTTTTCTAGCCTAGCAGGCAGACCAGCCTGTCAGCTGAGCTCTGCTACTTGGAAAAACAAAAGAATGTCTAAAATTAGAATCACAATCTTCCTCCCTTTCCCCCTAAACTAAAAAAGAAAAAATCTTAAAACTATTTTTCGTGAGACATTAATTGACAGTAAATGACCGAATGACAACCCCACATCATCAATATGTGAAGTACTGGGTCTGTGGTGGATGACATGTTGTATTTTTCTGATTAGTCCAGAACTGTGTGAAATGTGTGTTGTTCTCTCAAGTAACATTCAAATAAAGAACATTCATGTTTGTAGCTCTAACCTTACCAAATCGGATGATTAATCTTGTAAGGCATTGAATGTGTTACAGGGTAGAGTTTTGCTCTCCACTTGTCAAACCCAACAAGTCATGACAGCCCCACTATTCTCCTTATAATCTTTTAAAATGTTATTATTGGCTGATAATATATTATTCACCTTCCCACTCTGTTCCCATCTAATTTTACCTTTTTGTCACTTTTTTACAAACTTTCATTATCTACTCTACATTACTGCCATGCTGTTGATTCCCCTGTCAGCAGTTTCATGTTATCTGGTGAATTCATCCCCTCAATACAGCAGTTCGGTGGAAATGGCGGCCTCTCTGCAATGTTTCTTCTGCTGCCTGTGGCGACAGTGAAATCTGTTTAACTGTTGGCTGAATAAAATTTGAGCTTAGACAGAAATTAAATGCTGAGGAACACAAAACATCAGTGAGTATATCTAGCCCAAAGACAGAGGCACTGCAGTATGAGAGCCTAGTGTTTCTTCACACATATGTTGGGAAGTGGTGTTGCTACCTGATGCATTTAGAAAATAGTAGTTTTAATTTATCATAGAAAGACTTTTTATGCCTTCTTTTAGTCAAAGGATAAAAAGTTGAATATGTCTAAATATGCTCAGTCAAGGTTGTCCGACAATTGCAAATTGAGCTGGACCAAAGATAGGCCAAACCATATTAACTGGCGCTGTTAAAAAAAATAAGAACTGTCTACATACTAAGTTAGCACTAATCCATATTGCAATCTCAGCTTCTGGATAACAGATTTTTACTTTAATCCAAAAAAGAAAATCTTGTTTTAAACAATCTTGTTTAAAACAATCCTGCCATGATCCTCAAGTATGACCTTAAATTTCTGCATTTTAGACTGTGTGAAGGGCTACTACAAGCGTGCCAAAGCTCATGCTGCAGTGTGGAATGAAAAAGAAGCTCGGAAAGACTTCAACATGGTGGCCCAGTTGGACATTACTCTTGCTGCGCTTGTTCGTCGAGAGTTGAATGCCTTGTCGGAGCACATGAAGGAGAAGTACTGGCAGGAAAAGGAGCAATACTGGAACATGCTGGAGAAAACAGAGGGTGGAAGCAAAGAGGCGAATGATGAGGTCCATAATGAAGAGGAGAATGAGAAAGATGAACAAAAAAATAAAGAAAGCAAAGATAACCTTAAAAGCAGCACGACTGCAGCTACAGTGGGAAAGAAAAATGGTTCAACTGAGATGAAATGTGTTGAAAAAGAAGAATCTGGAGAAGAAAATGTTACACCACCTGAGGGATCCAGGGAGGAAGACGGTACCTCTGTAGTCGAAGTCTACGCTTGTGATAAAATGGAGGGGAAGGACTGGCAACAAATGCTACGACTGGTGATGTTGCTGCAGAATGAAGGAAACTTTTTCATCAAAGAAAAGCGCTTTCAAGAGGCTTCCACCAAATTCAAGGAGGCTTTGGAATATGTGGACTTCTTACAAAACAAGGTATGAGAATTACTCTAAGGAGTTTTCATTTTCCTACAGAATACAAGCATTCCATAGCTTGGTACTGTCACCATAATGTCTTACAGTGGGGATCTCATTTGGCTTTCATTGCAGACATAAAACACATTTTGCTAAAAATTCCAATAGTTAATGCTAGAGTACACAACCAGTGTTTACCCTCTGAACAAATTCTCCAACCTAAGCTATGAATCCCCCTCAGATTTACCATGTGACTATTGATGTTTTACTAATTTACGGCCTATTTACCCACCCTGTCAGGTAAGACATGTCTTGCCAAGTTAGCAGTTGTACTTTATTACCCCAGTCGCCCTCGGCAGATGGCCGCTCACACTAAGCCTAGTTCTGCTGGAGGTTTTTTTCCATTAAAAGGGAGTTTTTCCTCTCCACTGCAGCTACATGTATGCTTACTGTGAGGGATTGCATCCAATTCAATGAGTCGATGCAATCAACTGGTTTTCCTTAGATAGAAAACTTTGAATCAATTTGACTATATGATCTGGAGAACAGTAAAGTGCCTTGAGATGACATGGGTTGTGAAATGGCGCTAAATAAATGAACTGAATTCAAACTGAATTTAATTATTTTGTATTCCACTTAGTAATGATGACATGAACAGTGCTTTGGCAGATGTGAGAAAATTCAATATTCAGTTTGGTCATCTAATCCCTATTTAAACCTCCCCACAATTTTTGTCCTGGCCTTCCTTGGTCTTTATGGTGCTGTTTGTTCATTAACGAAACACTAAAGCTTGTTCATGCTCAGTTTAAACTACATCCCAAATGGGCTCTGTAGATGTTTGACCAGAGTAAAGGGGCTGACTCCAATTCATTTGATTGGTCTATTGTATAAATTCCCAATATAATATGCTTAAGTTTGTGCTTGTAATGTAATAAAAAAGGAAATTGTTTTAAAGACAAATACTTTTGCCAGGAAGTGAAACCTGGTTTAATTTGAACTGTCTTAAACAACTTCTTTCAAACTGATTTAAAGTGAAGAAGCAAATCTGCCCAAAAAGGGGTTTTCAAATGGCCTCTAGTTTTTAACCACATTTGATTATCTTTTTTTTTTTTTCTATACTGAAGAGTAGATGTGATTTGCAGGGAAACTGAAGAGCAGAGAAAGCATGCTAAAAATAACAGAGATCCACAGAGATGTCACAGTCATAGCTCTCAAAGCTCTTCCTGTTTTTTTCAGCAACTTTCCCCTAACCCATCTCACTGAGTTCCACCTTATACCTTCACAAAACCCCCATGCTCTATCTTTATTTTTCCTTTACATTGCGAGCCTCTTGAGTCACCCCCTACACATCATCATCATTTATTTCCTGCCTTTTTTATTGTTTACTCACTCTTGTTTGGGTTTAATCTTTTTAAAATTTCCTCTCCCATATATCTCCCCCAATACCTCCCACCTGCCTCCCCTGCCCACTGCATTTCATCAGCAGGTGGATCAACACAGTGAGGACTGGGAGTCGCTGGAGAAGGTGCGTCTTCCTCTCAGTCTCAACCTCAGCCAATGTAAGCTAGAGCTGAAACAATACCAGGAGGTGGTGGAGCTAAACGACAGGCTGCTAAAGAGCCATAAAGGTAGGATTTGTCGGTGTGAAAAATGAAAGAGAGTCTGTTATGTTTGACAGGAAGCTGAAAAAAAAATCATTCTTGATACAGAAATAGAAACACAAGTTTATTTGTCTTTTTTAAGCTTAAAAGTATAAAGACGTTACCTCTGGTCCTGTTTTTACTCTAAAAAAATCTCTTTGTTTACCAAGAAAACACAAGACTAGACATGACCGCACTTTGGTGTCTCTCTTTGTTCCCCTGACATCCATGGTCACCACAGTCAAAAATGAATCTTCTTTTTGCTTCCTCTGCAATGAAATATTTATAGTTAAAAGTTGTTTTCAACTAATCAGTGGGAGATTTTGCTATTTAAAAAAGACTAAATAAAATAAAAGATGAGGAAAAATTTTCATCTAAAGATGTTAAATCTTGCGGTGATGTACCTTAGAAGAATTGTTGCTGTAACTACTGTGAAGGGTAGTGTTACAAATCGTTGACTCATGGGGGCTAAAAATAAATACATCCCACAGGTTTTACATTTCTCTTTCTTGAAAATGTTGAAAACTACTTTGTGATGCTCTATTATATAAAATTCCTCTAATATGCATTGATATGAGTTATTTTTTGTACTGTGAAAAAAAAAAACATCAAAAACAAAGGAAGGGCTATGAAAACGGCTCTGCATTATTCTCATTTACATCAAATGTAGGGGTAACTATGTTTTCCACTGCTCTCAGATCCTCCATTATTTCCTCTAAGTCTTTCTCATTTCTACTCCAAAGGTAACTTTAAAGCAGTGTACCAGAGGGCTCGGGCGCATGCAGCATTGTGCAATGAGGATGAAGCTCAAAGGGACTTTGCCATGGTGGAGAAATTGGATCCAAAGTTTAGACCCTTTGTTCGTCAGGAGCTGAAAATGCTGGCAGAAAACATCCGCATCATGCACGCCCGCCAGAACAAGAATTACTGGGAAACAACAAAGGAGAAGTGGGGTCCTGGTGGAAGCAGGACCAAGGGTGTAGTGAGAAAGAAGAATACCAACTCAGCTAAGCAACCCACAGAGGCAAACATCGAACTGGATAAAAAGACTGAAGAGAGTAAAGTTGAAGAGAAGGAAAGCCCAGAAGAACATCATACCATTGAGACTGAAAGAGCAGGGGACACAGAAACAGAAAAAAATCCTGTTTTGAAAGCAGAGCATTGTGATAAAGAGCAAAAGTGTGGGATGATAAATGAATTGGGGTCAGATGAAGAAAAAGCAGTAAGGGTTGGGGCTCCTGAAGTAGATAACAGCAAAACAGATAAAGATGGTGACCCTCCATCCACCAGCTTAGATAATGTAGTAAGCAGGAGATCAGTGCGAGATAGAGGGAAAAAGAAGGTCAAACGTCAATCAAAAGGTACTCCAAACCCCAACAGAACAAAGCCAGTAACAGGAAAAGGAGACTCTAACAAAACACTCTAATAAATTGTCAGCATCCTCTACAGAGTCAAAATTAACATTTGTAAGTAAAATTACAAAGATAAATAGCCCATAGCAACAGGAATTATAACATAGCTGGAGCTAGAAAAACAAAATCAGGAAATAATGATTTTACCACCTAAAAGCCAAATACAAACACAGAAATAAATTAATATAACCAGCATTTATTTGGCCTCATTCTGAGCTAAGTCGTATTTTTTAATTCCCAAAGGGCCTACCACAGTCAAGAGAAATACAAAAAGCACACACAAACAAGCAGTTTGCCAAATACAAAGTTTTATTTCTGTACACAAAGAGTAGAAAGCAGCCGGTAACCCACTTGTTATTACAGTAAAAAGCCTCTCCTCAGAAAACCTCTTATACAGATTAAAAACTCTAGAGAATAGACAAGACAAAGTGTTGGACGATAAGAGAACAACTCTGAAACAATGAACTTCCAGGTGATAAATGAGGTATATTTTTAGTAAGTTAAACAGAATAAAGAAATGTGATGAATAAATGACTTTATGTGCAATCAAAAACTTGCTTGAGGTTAATTCATGTATGAGGCTGTGATATATGACATAGCTGAGCTTTTGGTACATGATCAAATTCAACACAGGGGGAAGCATCAGTGAAAGGCTGGACAAAATGATGCCTGTGAGCATGTTGGTCAGTGATGGCAATGTTCTTTGGAGGGGCTTGCCCAGAGGCAACCCCATCTTCAAATACAGTTTCCATCATGCAACATGGAGTAAAGACTGTTAGTGCACATATTTGAAGAGGCAATATACCATATAAAATGGAATAACAGTATGATTATAAATTAAACATTAAAGTTAGTGGAGGAGGTTCTTTCCTCAGGTGGATCATCAAAATAAGTAGCCCTCTTAATTGTCAATCAATTGTCCCACATGCTTGTCCCCATTTTTACTTACAGGTGGTGAGTCTGACATGGTGGAAAAATTGCAAATCTTCTTTTGGAAAGTAAGCTTGAATGAGCGATGCAAACAGCAACTTTTAAGCAGAGGATGCACAAGCAGAAATGGGCTTGTGCATGCTCTTGCACACGTTTAATAGGCGTTCCCTCTCGGGAGCAGGTACAGGGTTGTGTATATGCATTTTTTATTTTTTTTTTTACTGAAGGGGGCGGATCTTTTTAAAAGTTTGCAAAAATCCTCCACTATACCTTTAACTGATTACAGGTGAGAGTCGCACATTAGCACAGGCGTTATGGACTCGCTGATATTGTAGCCTTTTGTCTTGGTGGCTGTAGGACATGGCAACTAAACTCAAAAGTAAACTTTACATAAACAATGTAAAGATGTATATATCTGTAGCTGTGGAACAATAAACAACAGATGTAAGCAATAACATAGCCCAATCATTTCTCATTGTTAATTGTTGTATATTCTAACTTTGGGGCTGCTCAACAGCTAGATGCTGCAGGAAGTTAGAAAAGTTAAGTGCTGCATTCATTTTACTTTAAAGCTAAAATTTTAGCAATCTAAATAGGAAAATTTACTTTAAATACCAATCAAAAAAAAAAAAAAAAAAAAAAACTGAATCAAATCATGTTCATCAGTTTGGATCTCTAAATCAAATATAGCAGACAGGAGTAACATTTGGTGATAACTGCAGTAATAAAACCTGTTTAACAATATATGGTGTAATTTAATATGATTTAACAAAAGGATAATTCTATAAGAACTAAGTGCATCAGAATAGCAAGGAATGTTTAGATTGAATATTTGGTGGATTATGACTTTGCATATACTACACATAAAAACTGCTTGCCAGTAATTTACCAAGGTGGACAGATTTTTACTGGCTTTCGTGTCCATTGGTTACATAGACAGCAACTCATTTCAATATTAATGACTGACTTTATGGCATTGTTAGCCATGCAAACAGATTTTAATAGCTGAGGCAGGCAAAGTAAATCAGGGCAATGCACAATTATTAGATGGTAAAATAATAATTAAATGTCCTTTGAAAAGTAAAGGAATAAAAATTATGTTGTTATGTTTATATTCCATTATAAACACGTTCAATGATTCACTTAGATGGTAACATGTTTATATCTGAATATTTAAGGCATTAATTTTTTGTTTTATTTGACAATATAGATATTTATTTTTTAATTTATGTATTAAGCTGTGCTACTTTGCTAATAATAGCTTTCACCCTAGTGATGTTGCATCATAGATTCACTACCAGTGACCAAATGTTTTCCTGTGTGTTAAGCTGCATAAACACCATCTAAATTCCTTTTTTTTTTTTTTTTTTACGTTTTTCCAGTGAGATAATTTAATTTATTTAAATGTGTATTAATAAAAGAAAAACTTCCACTACACTTTAAAATGAAGCTTTGTGATTTAATGACTTGTGTATGCCATAGACGAATAAGGTATTCTGAATGTGCAACTGGAGAATCAAGGGAGGGGAAATGTCATTTCCACATTTAACTTCCAAGCTAAATGGAACAAAGCAGAAAATCTTTACAATGTCAATAATTTATGCCTGCATTATAGCAGTCAATTTGTCTGATTATTATTGTAGTTACTGGATTCAGGGTGTCTGAATCCTAATCAACAAGCTCTGATAATCTATGGTACTTCATTAAATATCCATTGGCTGAATTTATGTAACTGCCATGTCGGTATGATATTAAGATAAATAAAGGCTGAGATGCTCTGAATACCTCCTCATCTTTTTCACAGCTTGTCACCGCTACATGTTTTTGTTCATCAAGTATGGATACAGTGTGTCTGATGGCTAATCATTATGTAATGACATGCGTAAATACAAAGAGATAAATTACAAAGAGTAAACACTGCTTGTCATCGCTTTTCCCCCGCCACAAGCAGAGTTTCTGCCCATTGTTCTCCCCTGGAAAAAATATAAAAAGAGATTTGAAGCCGTTCAAATGCACAAAAGAAGATTTTGCTAATGATAACGACTCCCTTCAGCAGCTGAACAGCAGCAAGATCTAGTGGAGGTTACGAAATAGTCGCTTTTTTTTTTTGGAAACATGGAGCTTTCTTTTGCTGACCTTAAGGCTATTAGCATTTGTTATATGAACTGCACATGAACTATCTGTCTCGCAAACCTGCTGCGTCCTTGGGGATAGTTCCCTAGCAACTGCATCAAAACTAACAGGGAGCAAGCACTGAGGAGGATGGTGTCAAATGTGAGTGCTGTGAGCCTGCAGTCTGACAACGTAATAAATGCAGCAGACAGGTTTCAAACTTGTGTTTGTGAGGTCAGAGCACCTTCCTCTTGATAGTTAGGATGAATTTCTCAACCCATCAGTCCTTTTTGGAACAACAACATGGTTTTACTTACAATAATACACAAAGCCAGTGTTTTAGTCTCTCAGGTAAACTCCAGTGCTGCTTATAAAAATGGGAGGCACATCAAAGTGGATCTGTTCACCAGCCCTCCAATGATAAATACAATAATTCTTTTTGTTTTAGTATTTTTTGCCTCCCCCTCTTTATGCCTTATAGATCTGTAGTCCCTCTGAGCAGCGAGCATCATCTGTCCTGAACCAGTTTGACCTGCTCTCAGTCTGATGCAACCCCCTTTCCTGAATGCCAACATAAGTGTAGCAAAACTAACTTCTGCCTGACAAAGTTCTGTTTTTAAGGCATTAATCAGTGTCTGCAAGAAAGAGCATGCAAGAACTTACAGTGCCTCGCAAAATTTAAAAGTTTAAACACCCATTAAACTTTTCGTCAAATTACAATCAAAACATTTTATTTTATTGGGATTTGATGGGAGAATAAAACACAAACCATTGAGTGATCATAAAAGGGAAGGGAGATGCCGCTTGTCTCATGTTTAGCTCCATTCATCAATGCATATATTCTTAACTTAAATATCCTTGCTAAAGACTATCACCCCTTCAGCGGATGCTGTAATCATCGTATTTCCCAGTGGTGATAGTGTATTTAGGTGCATGAGAAGCCCCAGTAACATCTTGCATTCAAAAATTTTATATCGCTAAGCTATGGATCTTTGCAGCAGCTCCTCCTGAATTACGATGGGAATATAGTTTTTTTTTTTCTTGTTAAGTATATCCCTAGCCAGCTGGTCAACTAGATGGATTATCGGGTCTTTTTAGGTTTGTAGTTATGGAATTATAGGTTTCATTTTCAAATGACAAATCTAACATTAAAATAGTTGAAGCTTGTTCATTTCATAACCCTGCTATTCACTTCCCTTAAACTTTTTCCTTGACCTGTTTCTCCATAATACTCTTTGCTAAACCTCTGCGGAACTCACATAACAACTTGAACCTTACCAACACTAAATTGCAAATAGGAAGGACCCCTTTTACCAGTTCTTTAAGGGTACAGTGGAGGATTTTCTTTTTCCAGGTGGATCATCAAAATAAGTGGTCCTCCAAATTGTCAATCATTCTGGTCATATGTTTATTAAAGGCTGTCCGACGTGCTCGTCCCCATTTTTACTTACCGGTGGTGAGTCTGACATAGTGGAAAAATTGCAAAACTTCTTTTGGAAAGTAAGCTTGTACGAGAGAAGCAAACATCAACTTTTAAACAGAGCGTGCACGAGGAGTAATGTGCTCGTATATGCTCTTGCACGCATTTAATAGGCGTTCCCTCTCGGGAGCAGGTACAGGGTTGTGTATGTGCAGTTTTTTTTTTTTTTTTTTAAATAGAGAGGGCGGATCTTTTCAAAAATTTGTGAAAATCCTCCATTACACCTTTAATCTCTGAAGGCCATTACATTTACTGGATTCCTTTTGGAAGTATTGGAATAAAAGTCACTGATAATGTATGCGTAATGTGTGCATAATCATTTTCCATTTCCTTGCATGTAAAAGAGCCTGAATACTATAGATTTTTCCATTAAATATCATGGAATATATTATGTTCTTCTGCCACATAAAATCCCAATAAAGCACATGTTTTGTTTCTTTTTGTTACAACATTGGTTCCAGGTATATGAATATTCTTATAAGACGTGTAAAT